AGTCATTTCAGTTGGTTGGTAGGAGTGGAAACCAGATCGCAAAGGCTTAGTATGAGAATAGGTGATGAAGAAATTAACACAATCAAAATATATTACCTGTTCAGGAATTTGGCAATGGAAAGTGGTTGTGTTGACGCAGGAGTTGGAGAAGGCAACGAGGAGAAGCAAAGCTTTATATTCCAAGGTAGGGAAAAACCCAGGCACAGTTAAAGGCAGAGAATAGGTAGGTTTTTCTCATGAAGTCAGTCTTAACAGTGAAGACTATATCTCAAAACACTGAGAAATCCATTAAACTTATCTCTGCAAGTATAGTAGTCAGCCAACAGATCGTTCCTTCCAGATAACCCTGGGCCTAAAGCCAGGCAAAGTGCGTTCTTAAGAAGATCACTAAGAAGGGATGTGCCTCTGACTCCCTGCTGCTCATCTGGGAGGGAAATCCTTGCCAAGAGGGGTGTTTTGAATGTTCAGAGGAGGTAGCTGATTCTGCCAGCACAGGATCGAGGCTAGGAAGCTCACTCTTGGGACAGGAGCAAAGTCAGTGAGGAAACGTGTGTCAAGGAGTGAGGTGAAGAATGGCTCAAACAGAACACTCAAGAGGCAGACATTTCACAGACGTTTCAGTAGGTGTTCATGTCATCACTTGGCAAATCTCATAGCAGAGTCAAGACCCAGGTGGCAGTCTGTCTCAACCGAATAAGCAAGTGACTACCTTGCATGATAAACAGCCCTGCTATCAATGCCCTTTATCCCTATTAAACCAGTTGGAACAAAAGGACAAAAGCTTGCAATCAGCCTGAGGTGCCATAGACACACAAGGTGGTGTCTTCCGGATTCCCAAACCTCCTACACACCTGTGAGGTAAAAGGGGAATCAAATTTGCATTGCTCCTTATCAATGCTACAACTGAAGGGGTTTGACAGAACTAAAATGTCATACTCTGGAGTTCTCTGGATGACACTGGCAGAAGTGAGCCTAGAATCCAGCGCTCCTGCTTCCACTACTGGAGATTCTCTCATTAGCTACGCAACTTCCTGCTCTCTCTCACGAGCGACCCTCAATGCCGCCAATCTGGTTATCTGACTTTTTTGTATTTTCAATTTGAATCAGAAGTTACTTAATCCAGAGTCAAATCCTTAGGCAGTAAGTTTGTCCTTTCTAAGCAGGGTGGGTAAAAATCCTCACCTTCTTTGAAAGCCCAGAGCTAACAATTAACTTCCCATCTTTATGTCTACATCAAACCTGCCAAAAAGAAAAATCAAAAACATCCTCCCTGGATCACAAAATTCAAAAGCTGAAAAACATCTTAAGAACGAATCTCTATGCCCTATTCTTTGGCTGGCAGGTTAAAAACAGAATTTGCATAAATCCATAGCAGTCAGCCCTCTCTTGTTTGTGAGGATAAAAGAGGTCTTTATGTGCTGAAGGGGTTCAGGCTGGCCATGCTGTTACAAAGTCATGAAAAATGGAATGAGAGTGAGCGCAATAGAGTGCTTTAACTAGGAGCCTGGGGATAAATTCAAGACAAAATATCTAAGGGTTGATAAGAGGGTGAAAAAAGATTAAGACTATCACCCATTGGAACACAGGCAGTCTAATCCTTAGAGGAAGGGGGAGAGAAGAGAAGGTTGAAATTCAGATGGGAAGGTTATTTGGGGTTTATTGAACTTGGTTTAGGTTGACAACCCCTCTGAATTTCCAGTAAGTTGCTCTGCCTGCTCCCTCCACCCTGCATAATATATTCTAGGCTGACAGGCGCCCATATAGCCTAACACTGGCATCCGTGTTGATTGGTTGATGCCAAGTCATACCTCATTAAATATTTTAATATCACCCTGGGTATATCCAGAACTGGACTCATCCTCTCCTCTTAAAAGCTAAACTCATGACCTCCCTTCCTAAATATGTTCCTTCTTAAGTGATTTCTCTCCTTCATGTCATCTCCACATTCCTAACCACCCAGTTAGCCTCTGTTAGCTTTTGACTCCTGTCCCACATTCATCTGCCTTCTCCCCAAATCCAAGCAGTTTCCAAATCTAACAGATTTATCTGTCATATCTTGAGATTCTGCAGGGTACCACCAGTTATAAAAGAGAGGCAGGAAGATCATACTAGGCATCACCCATGTCCACTGGTTGGTGGCTGGGGAAGAGGAATACGTGCTAGGGGAGGTGTAGATGCTAATGGCTGGTCACCTGGTTCACGGTTGGTCTATCAACAAGTGGCTGGGCTGACACTGGCATACAGTTCAGCCAGGATCCCAGTGGCAGGGGAAGAGAGAATAAGGCAACAGAGATCAACAGTCCTTGAGTATGACTGTCACTGAGCAATTAGCACAAAAGAAACACAGGAACAGGGATGAAGGCAGGGAGTCAGTTGTAAGAACTGTGTTAGGAGGCAATGAGGATAGAGCAGAATCTTTGATTATCAGAATTTAACCATTCAATAAATATTTACCAACTACTCAGGATGGGCCATAGCAGTGGATATTGCGAATTTAAAGATAAGTACAATTCAGTATGATAAGTGCCAAATCCAAATTCAGACAAGGTTTAGAAGAGTGAAAAAAAGAGAGAGGGTCAGCTCTACTACCTGGAGGTGTTACATGAGGCTACATAGATGAGATGATGCTCAAGCAGGTTCTTGAAGTATGATTAAGCCCCAGCAGTGTGGAGAGGGAACTTCAGAAGGAAGGCATAGCAAAGATGCTGAAGATGGGGTGCCTAGAGAATTGCAAGGTATTCACCCACATTGCATTGGCAGCAAGGGTTACTGATGGGGTAGCCATCAGGTCATGTGATTGGGGCTGGATAAGCATCTGCAGCATCTGGCTAGAAGTGGCCCTGGATATTCAAGCAGGGCTGGGCTGGAATATCAAACTTAGGTAAGGTAGAAAGGAATGCAAGATCTAAGATATATTGAGCTTGACCCTTCTATATCCATCACCTCTCCATTCTCTTGGATACTACCCTATGTCAACCAACCAAAACCTCTTCAGTTTATCTAACTAGTGCAATGGTTCTCTAACCAGTTGCCCCAAGTAGACTCCTCCACTTCCTTCCAACCTACCCTACACACTGTTGCCTTCTTAATCTCCCTGAAGCACAACTTTGAACATGCTGTTCTCCTAAAAAAAAAAAAATTATTTCAATGGTTCCATGTTGCTGGAAGAATCAGGACTCCTACTTGTATTTCATATTTGAAGAGCTACTGTAGAGCTCCATTAAATATTTATTTGTCTCACACTGTGAAAATAATACAAAAATTTGTACAACACAGCATGTCATTGGCAATGGAGGTGATGGGTGGGAGGTAGATGAAAATACAGTGGGGTGGGGCAAAAACCACAGGCTGCCTAGGCCTGGACTTCCTCTTCTCTACATTCGTTAGCCTCTTTTTTCTCCCATCTTTGGAAGAGTGAACACAGAGCCAAGGAGCCAGAGCTGATGTGATGACACCTTTGTAGAGTTTGTCATACACTGTCCTCTGTGACACTGTCTTGGTTTTTTGTTTTGTTTTTGTTTGTTTGATGACTTAGATCTTACACTTTCTATATTTATGAGCACCTAACAATGCGGTTTTCCAGTGCTAAATTAATTTTTTTGTATGCATGTGGAATGAAATATATTTTGCTTGTAAACTTCACTAGCACATAAAAATAGATTTTGAAAACTATCATGATGAAATGAAGGAAATGAAAGAGGTTAGCTACTATTTTTATAATGTCAACATTTAAAATCTTGAACCAATGAGGCTTCACATCCAAAACAGTAAGGAATTACTAATTCTAAAATCTTCACTTTTTTCAGAATGTTGAACGTCATATATACAACAGTAACTGAAATAATATACGATTATAGAAAGTCAAAAGTTATTTGTGCAAATCAGTCTAAACCAAAAAGGAACTTTTAGTGTAACAAGAATCAAAAGGAAAGTAGCAGGCAAGATCAACATATCTTGCAATTCATTTTTTACAAAGAGCTCCTGTAAGTTTCAAAATAGTATTGCATCACTTTATAGTTACTACTTTGTTCATAAAGCATATCCCCTTCCATCACAGTGTGTCTGAGGGTCTGAGCTCAATTTCAGATAATTCTTGTAATAGTAAAAACAATTTACCTTATTAAGGAAAAGATCTTTATAAATGACATCATTTGCAAAGGACATAAATGACATCTGTCTGTTAATAGGCTGCTTTTAAATTCTATTCCATTCAGATGACTAAAGAGGTTATAATTTATATAGGCTATATTCAGAGAAATAAACTTCCTCAAACATCTGTCTATCCACGAAACTAAAAGCTCTAAAAAACAACCATTGGCCCCAAACCTGAGATTTTGTTACAAATGGCACCAGGAATTTGGCACTGGAAGGAAGCAAGGTCAGGCTGCCTGATGAGGGCTGGCAGAGCAAATTCCCATGGCTTCCACTACATAGAGCCTGTTTCCAAGCGCATCTGACCACAACCGTACTCTGCCACCTCAGGAAGAGTGCAACAGCACAGCTTCCACTGCTTGGGAAATGCCCTGTCTCAACCCCAGGGCCTCCCAGCTTGAAGACTGGAACACAATTAGGATGCTCTGGGCTGCAAGGAACAGAAGAGCTAATAGTGACTGAAACAAAAAGAGGCATTTATCATGTCACAGAGTAAGCATTCTGGAAGCAGGGCAGTTCCACAGTGAAGCAAGAGCTCCCCACACCATTGAGGACGCAGGTTCTTTTCATCTCTCTGTTGTCCTTACACAGAGTTCGGTTTTTGTTCTCTCTCTAGTGATTTCAAAATGGCTTCCTCAGTTCTGGTGTATTGTATTTTCATATAATCACTCTAAAATGCAGAAGACAGATTTTCCATGCATGTCTTTTTATGCAGGAGGAAGACCTTTCCCAGAAGCCCCCTGTGGACTACTCTTCAGGTCCCTTAAGCCCAGACTAGGGTATACGCTCAAGCCCTAGCTATAAGAGCAGAAAGCAATATTGGTCATTTTCTTGTCTTTCATTCTTACCTGTCAAAATCTGACCTCAAGATAGAAGAGGTGGCTGGGCAGGCAGCAGGAGCAGTTCCAGGGTGCAATTGGGTGGACATCCAAGAGTGTCACTGACAGAAAATTAACTGCTTTTAATGGCAGCTCCGTTTAAACATAAACTTTTAAAGTATGCTTCTTTGTGCTTATAACATATAACATATAATATCCCTTACCAGCATGCATTGCACACTTAGGTTATAAATGACAGGGGCATATTTACCTTCTAGATGATAACGATGATGAAGATAATGATAATATATGCATACAATACTGGCATTTGCAAAGTATATTCCTAAGTAATGGCCAACGAAACTGGGAATTTCTCAATGGTGGACGTTTTTTACCCTTAGATATCAAGTAATTCCTTCAGGATCCTATCCAGATACTTAAACCCTATGACTCAATGTCCATATATACATATATATTATTATTTTCTGAGAATTATTTCTAAACTTGGATAAAGGAGGATTGATTGTGTCACTTATGGGATCTCTCCCCAAGGGCAGAGTGTGCCTGAGGGTTACTGTGGGAGGGCCCCAGTTGGTCCTCAGGAGAAGGGGTATAATAACCACCACACCATTTCACTGTGCTCTGTCAATGTTTGTTAGATTTCCCAAAGCTACAGTACTGCCTATTAGCAGCTCAATTGCACAAAAAGTTAATCAACATTTTCAACAGGAATACTGTGCTGGCATCCGTAACTCACTTTTAAGATGAAAGATAGGCTCATAAGAGAAGAGAATTCGTTAGCCTGTTTTAGGAATTTTGAAGATACAGTGAATTATTTTCTTTACTTGATAAATACACTTATACCAGTAAATAGCCATTATTACAACGTGTGACTTGAAAGCACCAAAAATCTTCCTCCTCAACCCCAACCTTACCCCTTACCCCTCCTCACTCACAAATATTACTTCCTCTTCACAGCTGAAAATTATCAGTGAATTCTTCCTGATGTGCCTGGAGGTGGTGAAGAGGGGAAAGTGAGAATTGAGGAAAACCTAAACTGTGGTTAAAATGCAAATTCGTTACCTGGGAAAATCATGAATATCTATAGTTTCTGTTATCACAGTAGCAGAAAACAAGCCTTTGAGTAAATGAGACTGGGTTGGGGGAGGGAAGGTGGTAGCAAGATGAGGCTTTGCTTCTCCAAGTGTGGTGCTGGGACCAAGAGGTTAAGGATGGCCTGGGAGCTTGTTAGAAATGCAGAATCTTGGACTCTCCACCCCATACCCGCTGAATCAGGACTTGCGTTTTAACAAGACCCTCAGGCAATTCCTGCACAGGTTTAAATCTGAGAGGCACTGCTCTAGGGCATGAGACAGTATCTCCAAGGAATAAACCCTGGTCAAGTTCAGGTGCTTGGAGTCCTAAATGCTGAAGGTGAGAGAGAGAGGGACTGGCAACCTCAAGTGAGGGAAGAAAATACCAAGAGGGTAGCAATGGCAATCGTGGTGATTGCTAGCTTTAATTAGACACTGACAATTGCAGGTGCTATGGTAGAGCTTTGGTGATTGTTAGCTTTAATTAGACACTGACAATGGCAGGTGCTATGGTAGAGCTTTTCCTGCATTGTTTCTAATCTTCACAATGACCCGGCAACACAGACAGCATAAGGAACCGGAAACTCAAGGAGGTTAGGTGACTTGCCTAGGCTTCTATAGCCAGCAACTGATAAAATCTGGATCAATTCCTGGGCTTGGGAATCAGAGAAACCTGAATCAAATCCTGTCTCTTTCTTACTAGACTCGTAACTTTGTCAAGAAGCTCTCTCTCTGTGCTTCAGTTTCCTCCTCTGGAAAATGGGGATAAGAAGACTTTTTTTAGCTTCTAGGGTATTGTGAGTTTGAAATAGTATACATATAACTGGAAGTGCTTGTGTTTGCATAGGATGTAATATGTGTGCATTAAATAATAGTAGTATATACTATTATTACTGTTTTGACTAAGAAGAAGTTCTCCAAAAACAAAGCAACTTCGCAGTTTTGCCCGTGTTGGCCTGTTTCAGCAAGTCTACTTGGAACAGTGCACGTGAGAAGTGCAAAAATGTGTAACCTACAGGTAAATAAACCCTAACCTGTGGAACTATCCTTTTTCACTGGATGGAAATTATTTGCATCTCTCCCACACTTCCATGAGTGGTAAGAGTGAGGATTCCTGGTTTCCAGCCTTACCACTTTCAGAACAGCTGAAAAGGAAAGAGTTAGTTTTAATTATTCCATATAATTAAAAGAGTTGGTTTAATTGTTCCATATTCTTTGGACTTTCCTTTAACAATATTTTAAAGAATCAAATAAAACATGAGGTTAGAGAAATTCAGAATTATCTGGAGTTATATTTCTGAGTATACAGCATTGGTTCTTAGGATGCTCATAGCATTCACTAAATGAGGAAACCAATTCCTTCAGAAGTAACAAGGTGTGGTAGAAAAGATGTCGGCCTGGGAGTAGTAAGAAACGTGGATCTACTCGAGCTCTGCCACTAAATGCCTGGGTGTCCTCCTGAAGGTCAGTTCTCCTCTCTGAGCCTCAACTTCTTTGTCTGAAAATGAAGAGGTTGACTAGATGGCCATCTACGGGAGCAGGTCTCAAACTTCAGTGAGCATCAACGTCAGTGGGGGAAGCTGGGTTACAAAAAAAGCAGATTCCCAGACCCCACACCTGGAGATTCTGGATCAAAATCCAAATCTGCTCAAATGGGTCCCAGGATTCTGTTGTTCTTTTTTTTTTTTAAGATTTTATTTTTTCCTTTTTCTCCCCAAAGCCCCCCGGTACATAGTTGTATATTCTTTGTTGTGCGTCCTTCTAGTTGTGGCATGTGGGACGCTGCCTCAGTGTGGCCTTATGAGCAGTGCCATGTCTGCGCCCAGGATTCGAACCAACGAAACACTGGGCTGCCTGCAGATGAGTGCGCGAACTCAGCCACTCGGCCACGGGGCCAGGCCCAGGATTCTGTTGTTCTTTGTGGTTTGTTTTAACAGCACCCCAGGTCATGCCAGAGCAAGTGCAGGCCACGCTTTGACAGAGTCTACTTGGAGGTCTCTTTCGGCTGTAACCATGCACCACTCAGTATCGTATCCCATGTGTCCTGTGCTCAGAGCCTGGAAACCTGGGTTCAGCCACCAGCTGCTTCTCTTGTCATGAAGAACTCACCTATATCTGTGGGGATTTCATTTGTTACCTATTTCCTTTCAGGAGACCGTAAGGATTAATAAATCAGCATTGGTACAGCACTTAACAACTACAGAAAACAATGGTAAATTGGTATATACATTGTTACAATGTGCTATTTTTTCAGCTAATACTATGGAAGGGATTTTTTTCTTTTTAAATCTAACACAGCTGAGCCTTTTCAGCCTTTTCTGAAAGCTAAAATAAAAAACTGTCTTGAGTCGATTTGCCCTTCATCTTTGGTTATAATTTTAAATTGATTCTTCTAATATAGCCATTCAGGTCATTTAAGTGTGTATTAACAACACGTAAACATCAGTATTAGATACAGATAAGCTTATATTTGTGGCCTATAGTAAAACAAGTTTATTCTTGTTGTCCTTTGTTTCTGTAGGAAGCTAACGATGACTTCCAGGGAAGTTACACAAGTAGAAACAAGATTTAAATTGACCAACAGATCAAGGAAACTCAGATTTTGTACCTTACATACACTAAGAACTTTTTTTATGATCAAAGAAAGGGGTAGAAAATTATCTTCCTCTGTTAGCAGACTATATGTCAACACACTTAGACACACACACATGCACACACACGCAAACACACACCAAAAAAAAATCAGAGTTCTAATTAGGGGAAAAAATAAGCTAATGGTGAAAATTCAATTGATGTTTAAAAGTTACAAAAGCTTATTATTTTTCAAAGTGAAGTTTGGGCTTTCTTTTATAGTCTGATTAATACTTCCTGTTATGGTTAAAAACACAAGAGTACTTGGAAAACCAAAATAATAGAACCAGTAAACTAGCTCTTCCTCTCCTAGGAGAGACATAATCTCCCCAGTATACGGTGGATGGGAGATGAGCAAATAATCGACATTAAAATCTTAGTTAAGACTATCTGCCCATCTTCCAGCCACCCTGTGGTGGATGATTTGAACCAACTCTGTGGCTGCTTTGAGTAAACATTCCCATACCCCACACCTCAGGAGCATCTCTATCTCCAACTAACAGTGAACATGATAAATGACTTACTACCTTTTCAAACAGAGCCCTCACCACACCCAGAAGGCCTCTGTCTCAAACCTTTCCTTCCCAATAGCACCAATCTTCCATTTATCTGGAATTCTTTCTCATCTGCCTCACACTGACCTCATTCTCCTCTACCTGTGCCTGCACAGAATCTGTGAGTAAAGGAAGAAAAGCTTTTGCTACCCATCTTCCCTTGTTCTCCTTATTGGAAAAGAGTCTTTTAACTGAATTGAGAGAATTGTTCTTTGGTTGAAGCACATTCAACAATTTATCTAAGAGCTTCCTTATAGTCTTTTAAAGTAAACTTTGTGTACAAATAAATACAAAAAAAGTGCACAAATTGCAAGTGTACAGAGCAAAAGCACCATGTAATCAGCACCAGATCAAGAAATGGAAAATTACCACCACCCCAGAATCATTCCTTGTGTCTACTTTTAGTCACTAACTCTGAAAGAAAACCACTTTCACTACTTATAACACTATATATTAATTTTGCTTGTTTTTGAAATTTATATAAATGCATTCATATACTATGTACTCTTCTCAGACTGTCTTCTTTAGCTCAACCTTATGCTTGTGGGATTCATTCGGGTTGTTTGTGTGGCAATAGTGTGTTCATTTTCATTGTTATGTGTCACGCCATTTTACAAATGTACCATGATGTATTTGTCCAGTCTACTCTTGAGGGACATTTGGTTTATTCCTAGTTTAGAGCTATTATGAAATATGTGCTATGAACAATATTGTACATATAGAGAGATATATAGATACACACCCAGGAGTGGAATCGCTGGACCAGCTTTAGTAGATATTGCCAATGGCTTTCCAATAGTTATACCAATTTCTACTCTCACCATCAATTATGCCAAAGCCTCATTTGAGTATATATCATTATGGTTTTAATTTGCATTTCCTTGAAGTTCCCTAAAGTTGAACACCTTTCTGTATGTTTTTGGCAGTTCAGATATCTACCTTTACGAAGTGCCTGTACACGTCTTTTGTCCATTTTCTATCAGGCTGCCTTCATTCTTCTTAAAGAACTACTGTATTCTTGGAATAAACTTTACTTGGTTTTATTGAACTATCCGTTTTGTGTATTACTAGATTTCATTTGCTGTTTTGTTTAGGATTTTTACTTCTAAATTCATGAAAGAGATTGGCTTATAATTTTCTATTCTTGTAAACTCCTTTTCAGGTTTTAGTAGCAGGTATTTACTGGACTCGTGAAACAAGTTGGGAAATGCTCCCTTTTTTTCTGAATTCTAGAAGAGCTTATATAAGGTTCGTATTGTTTTTTCCTTAAATGTTTAGAATAATTCATCAGTGAAGTGACATAGGCCCAGAGTTTTCTTTGTGGAAAGGCTTTTAATAATGGATTTGACTTCTTTAATAAAATAAAAAGGTCCTTAATAACAGATTTAATCAAGTTTTTTTGAGGAATTCACCAATTCTGTAATTATCAAACTCACTGGCGTAAAATTGTCTGTACTATCCTAGTTTTACTTTTTTAATATTTCCATAATTTGTATTGACACCTTGCTTTTATCTTCATGATCTATTCTGATGCCTGATAATATTGGTAATTTTTCTTCTCTTTTTCATGAACACTCTTGCTAGGAGGTTATCACTTTAATCAATCTTTTCAAAGAACCAACTTTTAGCTTTGTTGAAATTGTTTTCCATTGTAAGTTTGTCTTCTATTCCATTGATGACTTGTCTTATCTTTCTTGTTTTCTTTCTTCTGTTTTATTTATGATTGCTATTC